CTGGAGAGCAAGGAGAGGTTACAGGGGTGGGATGGGTCAGGGGGTTCCAAAGAGTGATGGTGCCTGGACCATCGGATGTGCCCACCAGGCAACAGGGAGGAGAGCCTAAGGTGACCATGGAGCCTGGCCATTGCTGAGGGTCACAGGAGCATGGTGGAGCCCTGTCTCCTCTCATGGGGAGCTTCCCTGTGTAGCTGTGCCTGTGAGCAATGCAGCAATGGCCCCAAGGCTGACAGCACTGGGCAAGCATCCACTTGCTGGCTGGAAAGGGAAGGAGCAGGAAGCAGACATCAGGATGCAGCCAGATAGACACAGAAAGAGCTGGTTGGAGGTGACTGGGATTGGTTGTGCCCCGAGGAGCTGGTTGGTTGCAAAACTCTTTCAAAAGAGCCATTTACGGGCAAGCAGCTGGTTGATGCGGGAAGAGGGCACGGCAGGGTTGGTCACCATGGGCTTTGCTGTGTTCAGCCCAGGATCATGGTGAGGCAGGAGCTGGGCCTGGAGAAGAGAAGGCTCTGAGGGGATCTGATCCATGTGAACGAGTACCTTAAGGATTGAGCCAGGCTGGTTCTGGTTGCTAGATGTGGTTTTAGCTTGGGAAGCCATGGGATGCACTCTGATCTCCTTTGAGCATCACCAGAGCAGTGATGCTCCAGCTGCCACCCAGCACATGCAGCCCCTGCAGGAGCTTTCTCCATCCTCGGAGCCACAAGGTAAAGGGTTTTCCAAGCCTTTATCTCAAGCCAAAAAGCACCTGTATATGTCTCAGCCATAGCAAACAGCTACAAACTGCTCAGCAAGCACTACCTTGGTCCTTGGGGTGGTGGTACCCAAGCATTCATTGAGGAGAAGAGCTGGATTACACCATATTTAGTACCCAGAAAAGTTTCAGTTGGTGCTGGAAGACATCTCCCTGGTGGCTTACCCAGGGACAAGATCCTTGTGCCCTGCAGGAGCTCATTGGGGATTTGGTGAGATGGAGTCCATTGGGCATCTCATCTTGGCTGGGTAGCAAGTGATGGAGCAGGGCTGGGAAGGGAGCACTCCAGGTCACTTTTCTGTGTGGGAAAACTCTGAGAGTTTCCATTGGGATTTAGGGGGAGAAAACCCAAAATCTTGGAATTTCCTATGGAGCAGAAGCTCTGCATACAGATACTAATAAAACAGCTTGTTCTTGTGGTAAGGGCTGTCCCCTGTTGTGAACTCCTGTTGTCATGGGTATTAATGCTCAGAGGCGATTGCGCATCCCGAGAATGCACTTGGCACAGCCAAGGGGGAAAAAGCTGCATGAGGAGAGCAAACAGGAGGTGCTTCCTCAAGCTGGGCTGGCTCTGCTCTCCCCAGCCCATGCACAACACTTCCTCTGCCTGGAGAACCTCTAATACACCTCCTTCGTGTTGCAGGTGATGAGTAAAACCCTCGTGGAGCTCAGGCAGTGTCTTGTGCTGCTCTTCTGCCCATTAACACCTTCCTAGCCCATCAGCTTGGCTCAGACACTGAGCAGCGCAGTTCCTGCCCACTCACGTCTCACCCTCTTCCTTTATGGGCTTTTCGGGTACCTCATGTGGGTATTTAGCTCCAGCAGGACCACGCATTCTCTGCAGTGGTGCCCATTAGATGGGTACAAAAGGGAGAGCTGAGCTAGGATCTCAATGAACACCAAGTGATACTTTATTGTCTCACAAGCATGAGTGATCCAAGCAGACAGAAAGCAAGAAGAGCCCAACTCCTACAAGCCACCCCCTCCCAGTCTTCATGGAGGCTCAATCCTTGTCTGGTGTGCAGCGGTCATCCTTGTGGATGATGCGATGGGCATCATCGGTCACCTTGGCCAAGACGATGGTGAACTCCTCGAAGCTCAGGTCCTTGTCCTTGTTTATATCAGTCTCTTGGAAGAGCTTATTCAGGTAGTCAGAACGGTTCCTGTTCTGAAATTGGGCAGCAGGACATGTGTCAGAATACCCCCACCCTGGGCTGCACACCCCCCTGATGGAAACCAGCTTTGCTGTTCCATGATCCTGAAAGCTGCAGGATCACTGTGACTCTCTCCTACCTTGCATTTAGCCCCTAGATAAAGCCCTAGATGGACATAGAGCTCTTTCCAAGCTCTATACCCCCACAACATCAGGAGGAATAGGCACCTGCAGCACATGGACAAGCTGCGTCTGTGGACCACAGCCGTGATGGGAACTGCACCCCATTCCCCAGGGAGCATCCTTGGAGGCAACCTCAGCCTCATCCCACTGCAGCCTCCCAAGGAGAGCACAACACAGCTCCTGAACACTCACACAAGCTTGCAGGAAGGTCGGTGTCTGCTCAGTCATCAGCGTCTTGAAGTCATTGAAGTTGAGGAGGTCGAGCTTGCCCTCCCGGATGCTGTAGCGGTGGTAGACATCCACGATGGTTTTCAGGGCCTGATCCAAAGAGCAGTTTCCAGGGAACTGCCGAGTCTCAGGAGAGGTGTTCTTGGGCTGGGTGCTCACAGACATGGTTGAGGTCCTGAGAAACTGTGTGGAGAAACCCCCAAGCCGTGAGATGCATCCAAAACCCCATGGCATGACCTTGACCAGCACCACAGGTGCCCCAAGGGATCTGCACCAGGAGCACGGCAATAAGTGGGTTTAGGAGTATCACCGTTTCACAGCATCACCCAAAACACCTCTACTTTTAGGTTCAGCCAAGGAGCAACTCATTCTTCCCAACCTGAAGGCATTTGTCAGGCACATCAGACAAACCCATGAGGCTGCAGTCATGTATCCTCATCATGCTACAGGCAGGGACAATGACTTTAAGGCAGGGAGCTTGGTTCAGGTACAGGCTCCATTGCAACCTCAGCCTCATCTCCTCCTCATCTCCCTCTGAATCTCTTTGCCCATGGAGACAAATACACCTCCACTAAGGGTGGCATGGAAATGCCATTCATTTATACTTATCTTGTAGCCAAAACCAACCTCCTACCCTGTCCAAATAAAAAACCATCACCCTGGACTGAAACAGGCATGGAATGACATCCCATACTCCAAATCACTTCTCCCCTCACCTTCTTTCCTGCAAGAGCCACCGCAGTGTTACTTACCCTTATCTCCAAAGAGGCTTTGCAGAGGATGGATCTGTCGCAGTGATCCGAGAGCCTCTGCAGACCTTTTATATCTGTTTGAGGTCCTCTTTCATCAGAGGTAGTGACACACCTGCGGCAAGCATCAGCTTGAGTTAACATTTCCCAGACCTGGAAATTGCAAGGTGGGAACTTATGAACCCTTCCCCACCTCATACCTCTGCACCTTGTTCCTGGTTGCACCCACCAGCCTGGGGAAATGTTGTCCTTCCACCCCACCATCGCCTCCGACAGGGCTGAGCCGTTCCTGTCTTGGGCAAAGAATGGGGGCAACACTGGACGTGCCCTCTCCAGGAGCACAAAGGGCAAGTCCAAGGCTTTACAAGCCCCACAATGCGCTGTGTAGATGAACTGCTTCATAGAGACGTGGTTGACTTTGTCCCTTGATTGGTTTTAACTTGATCTCTCTGTTTTCTACCACAAATAATTGGTTGGGCACAAGCAAAGGCAAAGGCAACATCTACCGGGTTGTTTTCCAGTGTATTTGCCATTGCTTTCTGTTTTCACATCACTTGGACCAGACCTTTCCTCTTGCTCCAGCAACTTGGGGGAGAAAGAAGAATATCTGAGGTCTTTTAGGGTCTTCAGTGGCTACAGCGTTGAGTAGCAAGCGTTGTGCAATGGTCACCTCTGCCACCCATCTTGCGTTAGCAGAACAGGTACTAGAAGAATGAAGGAACTGTAAAACAATGTAAGAATAAGGTGGTAGGTGCCAGGAAGAGGGTAGGGACAGCAAAACAAAAGGGTCACCATTCCTGTTTGAGGATGCTTCTTGCGTGTCTCAGGGCCAGTACCAAGAGCTGTTGCATGAGGTCTATTTTGGGAGCCCTGACTCACTTAACGGCTTTCTACTCATTAGGGACTGCCAGGAACCCAAAGCTGTGTCCTCATTCCCTTTGCAAGTCCCTCCTGCCTTTGCCCTGTGCACTTGCAGAGTCCTCACATGGACAGACCCATGGGCTTCGCATTCCCATCTTTGCCAGCCATGTTCCTCAAAACCCATCAGGGGATGCAGCTCATGATGCCCAGCCCCAGAAGGGGAAGGGTACCCGGGGGGCCCTGGAATAGCATCCACCTCTGGGCTGCAAGAGTGTGATCACTTGTGTCACTGAGTACACAATAACCCACACACTACCCCCGTGCTTCTCTTCATGGCAGGGGGGTTGGAACTGGATGATCTTAAGGTCCTTTCCAACCCAACCCATTCTAAGATTCTATGTTCCACGTGGGACAAGCTGCTGCTTTCAGCTGACATTGGAGGTGTTGGAGCCTTGCAAGGGTTTCCCACTCAATGCGCAGTCAGGTAACAGAAGCATCCAGCTTTATGGTGCAGGGATACCCCCAGCAACCCAGAGCCCCTCAGCCTCGTCCTCTGCTCGGTCAGGGCTTGCAGGGTAAGCTCTGGTTGCTCTGCAGGTTCCAAAAGCATTGAACCCCCAGGATGCTGCTCCCCCAGCTCCAGAGCTGGCTTTTGGGAACCACTTGGGGACTTCATCCCTGGCACATCCTGAAGCTAAAACAGAGAGGGGCTGGGAGAGCCAAGGCTGAGGATGCTCTCTCGCAGGAGCTTCCACTGTGATGGGGTTCTAAGCACCCCACTGTCCGCTGAGGCTAAGGGTGCTGGGGCCAACCACTCTGTGTAGGGACCTTGCTGAGCCTCACAAAGGCAGTGGGAACACATTGGGGTTGTGACATGCTTTAGGACAGGGACCCTGTGCAGCTCATTGGGACCCAGCAGTGCTGTTGTCCTGGAGGCTGAGATCCCTCCACGCCACCTTCCCTTCCCATTCCCATTGCTTCTTCAGTTCAACCTGCATTAAACCCCTCAGATTTAACCCTTTGATGCGTGTTGCATCCTGGAGATAAGACACATAATACAGATGCATTTGGTGCTTGAAGAAAGACATTTTATTTCAATGACATAGGTAGAAGCAAACGATAAAGCTTTGGTTACAGGTTTGCCTGTGCTGGAGGGCAAATGGAAGGGATAATGCTGCTGGAAAAGCATAATCCCATGGGCTCAGACATAGGAAGCACTTCACTTTCTGGGACCGTGGCCGTGGTCATGGCCATGATCATGCCCGTGGTCATGGCCATGGCCGGCACCGTGATGGTGGTCGTGTCTCCCATGGGACCTATTGTGGGCATCAATGACGACAAGATTCAGCGTGGTCAGGAACTCGGTGAACTTGAGGCGACCGTCGTGGTTGCGGTCTGCTTTGGCAAAGAGGTTGCTGATGTACTCATCAATGGACACGTTGGGCTGCAGCGTGACAAACATGGACAGAGTCAGGAAAACCCCAGGGGCAAAAGAGCTTTGGGAGCTCCCAGCCACCCCCATGCCCCAAGGAGGCCACTTTGAAGACCTGAAGCCTGGCCTGTGCTTGGCTCTTACCGGTTTGGTGTTCTGGAGGAAGGGCTTGGCAGTCTCCGTCAGCAGCTGGGAGAACTCCGGCTTGTCCAGGTAGTCATCGATGGGGTTCTTGATGGCGTACTGGTGGTAGATGTTGATGGCGCACTCCAAGGCGAGCTCCAGGTCGGTTTTCATCTTGCTAGGAAGAGAAAGACAGCAAAACATCAAACCCCATCAGAGCCCACTCATCCCAGCGGCACCCCCAGCAGCATGGGTACTGGAGCCGCCATAGGCACGGACCTACTTACCTGGGGCTGATGTCTACGGGCAGTGCTGCACGGGATGGAGCAGGAGGAGCAGTGATGCTGCGGTGCAGGGGAGGGCTCTTTTATACCCTCCCTGAGCTCGGATTTGTGACACCCTCCCATTCCCTTTGGGGTGATAACCTCGGGAATTGTGCAAGGCCACGCAGCACGCCCAGGCAGCAATTTCTTGCTCCAGGAACTGGTTGCTCCCCATGTCAATGAGGGAGGGGAAGCACCGAAACAAGGGGATGCCGAAAGAGAACATTGGGGCTGTTCAGCCTGGAGAAGAGAATCTGCGTGGGGACCTCAGAGCAGCTTCCAGCGTCTGAAGGGGGCTACAAGGATGCTGGAGAGGGGCCTTCTTCAGGGACTACAGTGATAGGTGAAGGGCTGATGGGTTCAAACTGAAACTGGGGATTTAGGTTGGATATAAGCAAGTTCTTCTCTGGGAGGGTGGTGGGACACTGGAATGGGTTGAAGGGAGAAGCTGTGGCTGCCCCATCCCTGGCAGTGTTCAAGGCCAGGTTGGACGGGGCTTGGAGCAACCTGCTCTAATGGAAGGGGTCCCTGCTTTGGAGCTGGATGAGCTTTAAGCTCCCTTCCAACCCAAACCATTCCATGATTTGCAGCACCATGGACTGGGGGCACTGCAGCAGCATTCCCAGGTCGTGGGGCATTCCGGCAGAGTTTGGGGGGGTCTTTGCAGAGATGATGGAAGAGGAATTGTTCAGCATCACACAGAAGGTGCTGGGTGAGGGTCTCCAATGGGGTAATGCTGTTACTTCCCAATGGGGAATGGTCTCCATCACTCCGTTATGTGCCCTGAAGAGGTTCAATTTGGCTTGGAGGTGTGATGTGTGTCCCCAGCATCCCACTGGCCAGCACATCCCCTCCGTAAAGAGGAGCAGTGATGCCTCCTGAATCATTTCCAACAGCAAACCAGGGAGCCAAGGGATTGCCAAATCCAGACACACCAAGTGCCAGGAACCCTCTTAGGAGGTGGCATTTCCTGGTAGCCGTAATTGCTGCCTGATGATAACCGAGGTCAGGGGCAATTCCTGCCTATTCCCACTGTCGGGCGGATGCTGCCAACATGTGGGAAACCCCATGGTGTTCCCAGTGCCTGGCACGCAGGGGCTGCTAAACCTGGTGTGTCTTGGGGTAAAGGGGTAAAGGAACCTGAGGATGCCCAAGCCCTCATGCCGAGTCTGTGCTTCATGGGTCTGGCACAAGAAAGCCGTCAAGGGTTTTAAAGGAGGCGGTGGTGAAACATCTCCCCATGAGCTCCTAATCTGGGTGTTGGAGGAACTGATGCCAGAACAAAGCTTGCCTTGCAAAGACTGAAACCAGGGGGCAGGTTGTGGGATGGAGACGGGCGCGTCCTGTCCAGGAAGGGGACCCACGCAGGGCATCAGCGAGACACGGGTGCACCATCGGTGATGGGACCTGTGTGGGGAGGTGTGAAGGGATGCGCCTCTGTGATGTGGGGAGGTGGGAGGAGATATGGCCATGGAGATCATCCTAAGGTCCTTTCCGACCCAAACTGTTCTATGCGTACACTGTGGGGCAGGAAAGAAGGGACAAGTGTGGGCTGTGGGTCCTCATGCTGCCATTGCTGCCCGACCTGCCATGGAAGCCACTTAAGGGAATGCTTAGGGCAGCTCCAGTGCCTAAAGGGGCTGCAGGAACCCTGGAGAGGGGCTTTGGACAAGGGATGCAGGGACAGGACAAGGGGAATGGCTTTAACCTGCCAGAGGGGAGACTGAGATGGGATCTTAGGCAGAAGCTCTTCCCTGGGAGGGTGGTGGGACACCGGGATGGGTTGAATGGAGAAGGTTTGGATGCCCCATCCCTGGCAGTGTTCAAGGGGGTTGGAAGTGGATGAGCTTAAATCTCCCTTCAACCCAACCCATTGTATGGATCCATTGTTCTACCCACACACCAATGGCTCCCGGCACATGCCCTGCCCTGGGGCCCACGCTCCGGTGCTCTGGGTGTTGGTATCTGCTCCATGGCTCAGTGCCCATGGGGCTGGGATGTCGGTGCCACAGGGAGGGAGCCAGCACAGCCCCGAGGGCAGAGCAGCAGGGCGGTGACAGGGTGCGGATGGATGCAGGCAGGATGGGATGCTGTGAGCAGAGCTTCAGACAGTCACAGGTCAGGCAGAAAAGAGCCAAGGGCTTGCGGGGGTTCCCTTTCACCAGTGCAGTGCAGCCCCATCCTCGGGTGTCCCAGTGAGCTGGAGGGATGGATGTGTGGTTCATTCCCTAGTATCCATGCTCGGGTGAGCACTGGATCTCAGAATCTGAGGTTCGTAGAACAGCCCCTTCACCCTCCATCTGGGGGAGCAGTGGGATGAGCTTCAACCCCGGTCTCCTGGCAAACCAGCCCTTGTAAAGATGAGGGTGCAGCGCCTGGGTGGGCAAGAACATCACCAGCACCCAACAGGATCCATCAGTGGGGACATGAGCACCCCCCCGGCAAGGGCAAGAGCAGTGCAGCCCATGAGGGTTTAACCTATTTGTGGTTCACAAATGACCAGGAACACAGCAACAAAGCTTTGTAATAGGAAAGGACAAAAAACTTTGCAAAGGTCCTTACAAAAGGACCCCAAAAGGCCCCCAGGGCCCCTCCTCACCCTGCCACTTGCCCAGCCCTATATCTGCATTCCTTCAGTGCATCGCTGCAGTTCATGGCCAGGGCACCCAGGAAGGTGAAGCCCTGCTAGAACTTCACTTCCTTGTCATTGTTATGGCCCAGGTCCATCCCAAGTCACAGCTCTGGGCAGCACAGGGATGTGGGGGGCATTGCTCCCTCTCCACGCAGCAGGATGCTCTGCAGCCCTTTACCTTGCCCTGGTGCCTGGGCAAAGCCCCTTCAGAGCCAGCTCAATGGGTCTGGCCCCAAGCAGATAAGAGGTTGCCCCACATCCCCCCATAGTGCTGCACTGGGATGCTGGAGCAAGCTGGGGCTGGTGCCTGCAGGTTGACTCATGGGGCGCATCCCAGACGTGGCTCCTGTCTGCCTCCACACACAGCCCCAGGGCTGGTGTGATGGGGGCAAGGGGGTGAAGCCTTTGGGGCATCTCCATTCACCAGTGCCTCTGGGAGCAGAGGGATGAAGGTGCCAGTGATGGACACCCAGCTGCACATCTGGAAGGGGGCATCCAGCTGCACATCTGGAAGGGGGCATCCGGCTGCACATCTGGACTCAGCACATGAGGTTGTTCTCAGCTGCTCAGTGGGGAAAACGGAGCTCAGAAGGAGGAAATCGGGACTTAAAGACATGAGCAGGAAGGGGGGGGCTGTGGCTGTGCTGCTCCTTGCGTCTATAGCCACGGGCTGAGTCGTACCCGCAGGGCTGGCTGGGTGCATGGGGAAGTCACTGCTCTGCACGTCAAAGCCCCACCCCGAGCAGGAATGCAGGGAAACCCTGCTCCAGGAGGATTCACATGGGGGACAAACTGATTCCCAGCATGGCAGGTCCTGCCCCGTGGGGACAGATGCTGATTCCATGTGATTACGGCTGAAACAAGGAGTTATCCACCCGTTAATCCCTGGGGAAGCTCCTGCCTTGCCTGGCCACGAAGGGGTTATCAGGGCTGCAGGGCAGTGACTCATCCTAACGGGTGCTTTACAAGGGCTCAGGGAACGCAGTGCCCAGACTCCTTATTCCCAAGCAGAACTTGGAATGCTCACACGGAAAGGAAACCAAGGAAACCGGGATTTTCTCCAGTGTCCCTGAGGCAACAACCCCCCCATTGCAAAGCAGGCAAAAGCATTGGGTTGAAAGCATCCTTTATTACAAGAGCATCAGGAAGACAACGGGAGGCTCCCTGCTCACTTCCTACGAGGCATCTTATCAGGGCAGTCCTGGAAGAAATCATTGCACATCATGGCCATGCAGGCCAAGAAGATCACGTACTCCTGGAAGTCCACCTCGCTGTCGCTGTTGCTGTCCAGATGGCTCATGAGCTGCTGTAAACTGGCCTCACTGGCTTGTCTCTGCAAGCAAAGGGGGTTAAATGGGGTTTTGCATCCCATCTGGCCGCATCCCCGCATCCCAGCGTCCACCGTGGGATGTGGTACCCCCTGCCCCATGCTTACGCTGAAGCTGGGCAGCTCCTTGGTGAGCATCTCTTTGAGCTCCTGCTTGCTGAGCTTGTACTTGTCCCCCTCGTTGCCTGAGTACTTGTGGAAGGTGGAGACCATCACGGCCAGCGCCTGCTCCAGGGGAGATGCCATGGGGAAGAGCAGCAAGCCTGGAGGCACCAACAGCACCAGTGGGTGAGAACAGAGAGCAGCATCCCCATGCACCCCCATGCACCCCCATACCCCACAGACACTGCAGGCTCTTCGATGCCCCACTCCTGCATCACCACTTCCCCGTTAGCTTCACCCTCCCACATTGGGTACCCCCAAAAAAGCCATATTAAAGGGGAGAACATGGGGGGAAGCAGCTTTCCCAGCCTCCAAACTCAGCTCCTTGCAGGAGAAGCCCCAAGGGGAAAACCTCTATAGGAGGACCCCATTGTGGGATGGGGCAGATGTGCCTTTAGCAACATCTGGAGAGTGGGATAAAGGGGGAAAAGAGGGGAAAAGCAACTCACCAACAGCTCAAAGGGAACAGCCAAGGATGGGAAGGGCAGGATGAGGCAGCATTTATAGCCCTGCCTGGGACACCTCCCTCGCTATCCGGTTGGGAAGGCACCAATGCTGATCCAGAGCCTGCCTGGACATTGGCTGGCAAGGGAGGAGAGGAAAAAACCACAGGAGCAGCCCTGACCCCCCCAGACCATCCCGTTCCTGCACCACTGAGTAGATGGAAAGAGCACAATGGGGCTGGATGGGGCGGAGGAGAATCCCTATGGATAAGGGATGAAGTCAAGGGAGTGGGGGGCACCTCATCCCACCCTTGCCAGCGAGGGCAGGGGATGCAGTGCAGGGCAAGATGGTTTTGGCAGCATCCCCAGGGATGTCTGGAGCCGAGCAGGATTTATCCATGGGTTTGTTGTTGTGCTGGAGTTCGGGTTGGGAATGGGGGGGGGGGGGGGGGGAGTTGTTCTGTTTTTAACTCGGTTTCTGTTTCCTAAGTGCAAGGGCCATGAGTCACAAGAGCCCCGTTGTGTAACGGGGAATGATGCTGCTGACTGCGTGCCCCGGGCACGTGGCAAGGGGAAAGCAGGAGCTGGGAGCCTGGAATCCCCTGATAAACACCCAAAGTGTCCCTGACCCCCCCGGGATAAAGAGCAATGGGTAACAGGGGGCTCTGAGCCCTTTAAGAGGGGCTTGGAGCCTCCAAAAGAGGGTTTGGACACTCAAGAAACTGCTTGGAGCCTAAAAATCTTAATCCAGAGCCTAGAACTGAAGCACTTGGATGCGAAAAGGAGACTTTGTGAGCTAAAGCTGAACTTTTGGAGCCTGGAAATGAGGCTTTAGAAGGGTGAGGGAAAACAGGGGATGAAGCTTCCCCAGGCCAGGGGGCTCTTTAAGGACCATATGGGCAAGAGAAAGGCACAAACCTGACCCCCATCCCTCTATTAACCAGTGCAAAGTGGTGTAAATCACTGCAAGGGGCTCTTTATAAAGACCCTGGGAAGGGGCAAAGTGAAGTCTGGGGCTCAGGGAGGACTTTAGGGTCTTCTTTACCATGCAATGCTGTAGGGGGTTGATGAAAGCTCTTTGGATCTAGGATGGTTCCTTTGGGGCTATGGGGGCAGGCTGAAGCGGGGCTGCAGCATCGTCTGCTGTGGCCATGGGTGGAAGGGGGGCAAAACCCGAGCTCCACAAGCGCTGGCATAGCCTGATGTGCTCACCACGGCCCCATGGTAAACCTGGGGGGCTCAGGGTGATCCCCATGGGTTTATCCATACCCCGAGGGTCTCCTTTAGCTTTTCCCTGCAGGATGCGCTCTGGCTTCTACGCTTTGCATGGCCCTTGCGTCTTGCTGTGGTTCCTCCAGCCCAGCTTCCCCTCCCCAAACCCAATGGGAGCTTGTGCTGAGCTTTAAGCCAAGCCAGGCTCAGGGAAGCTCGGGTTTAACCCCAACATGCATTAAACCTCCCCCCAAGCCAGCAGGGATGGTGCAGGGGGGGGATATCCCAATCCATTGCCTGCAGCCAGGGCTGGCTTTTCCAAAGGATGCTTCCATGGAAAACCCCAAGGAGCAGGAGGAAGATGTGAGTCACCCCAAGCACAACGCCAGCCTTTGGGAAAGCCTTTATTGGAAGCCCCGATGGGATCACTTCTTGCGGTGCTGCTTGGTGGGGCAATCCCTGAAGAACTCGTTGAAGCCCATGGTGATGCAGGCCAGGAAGCAGACGTACTCCTTGAAGTCCACCTCGCTGTCCTTGTCGTGGTCCAGGTCGTTCATGAGCCTCTTGAACTCGGCATCATCCATTTGCTTCTATAGGAGGGGGGAAAAGTGGGGTTTTGGGGTGCATGGATGAGTGAGGTGCTCCCCATCCAGCCCCACTGCTCACAAGGATGGGTGTGAAAGCCTTGGCTTCCATCCCTATGGGTTCAAGGAGAAGGAAAGGGCCTTTAGGGATGCAGGTGGATACTGAGATGTGGGGTGTGCCGGCATGGGTACAGCAAATGCGCCTCTTGGGCATGAAGGAGCTGGGCTAAAACATCTCACCTCCCATTTTAAAGGGAATTAAGGGTTAAGCCCAATATAAAACAGTGAAATTGGAGCAGGCTTCTCCTTGCCAAGCAAAATATTGGTGTGAGCACAAGAAAGCCAAGTTTCCTTCAGGTCCAAGTATGTTCCAGCTCAGGTCCTCCCTGCTTCATCCTGCCTTTTGTGGCACACAGGGACAGGACAAGGGGGAATGGCTTAGAGGGGAGGTTAAGATGGGATCTGGGGCAGTTCTCCCCTATGAGGGTGATGGGGAGCTGCAATGGGATGATGGAGAAGCTGCCCCATCCCTGGCAGCGTTCAAGGCCAGGTTGGCCGGGGCTTGGATCAACCTGCTCTAGAGGGAGCTTTAAGAGCTCTTCCCATCCAAACCATTCCATGGCTCCACATGGGCTGCATCCCTCGGGCAGGGATGCACAGATCAGTGTGATCCATGGAAAGACCCAAGGCTGGTTTGCTCCCGCCCCTACAGCCCCTAGAGCCAAGGGGTGCGTCCCCACACTTACGCTCCCAAAGACGGGCAGCTCCTTGTTGAGCAGCTCCTTGAGCTCCTGCTTGCTGAGCTTGTACTTGTCCCCTTCCTTGCCCGAGTACTTGTGGAAGGTGGTGACCATCACGGCCAGCGCCTGCTCCAGGGGACACGCCATCGCCAGCCTGCCGTGTGCCTGCAGGGCACAGCACCGGGGACGGGGTCAGGATGGGGACGGGTCCAATTCCCAGCACCCTGATGCGAACGGTGCCTAAGCCAGGAGCCAGGATGCTGCAGAGGGGCAGCGACAAGGGGTGATGGAAGACGAAGGGGAGCAGGGACTCACCAGGGACCAGGCAGCAGTGAGGAGTGAGGATGCTGCAGAGGGGCAGCGACAAGGGGTGATGGAAGAGGAAGGGGAGCAGGGACTCACCAGGGATCAGGCAGCAGTGAGGATGCTGCAGAGGGGCAGCAACAAGGGGTGATGGAAGAGGAAGGGGAGCAGGGACTCACCAGGGACCAGGCAGCAGTGAGGAGTGAGGATGCTGCAGAGGGGCAGAGACAAGGGGTGATGGAAGAGGAAGGGGAGCAGGGACTCACCAGGGACCAGGCAGCAGTGAGGAGTCAGGATGCTGCAGAGGGGCAGCGACAAGGGGTGATGGAAGAAGGGGAGCAGGGACTCACCAGGGACCAGGCAGCAGTGAGGAGTGAGGATGCTGCAGAGGGGCAGCGACAAGGGGTGATGGAAGAGGAAGGGGAGCAGGGACTCACCAGGGACCAGGCAGCAGTGAGGAGTCAGGATGCTGCCGCCGGGGCTCGATGGGCATTTATAGCCCAGCTCTGGTGGCACAGCCCATGGAGCCCTCTTGCCTCCGGGCTGTTCCATGCAGGTGCTTTCATCCACACCTCATTTTTGCCTACCGAGCCGAGTGATCCCATTAGGAAGAGGTGGATGGGTTTGGGTGCTGCTGGGGGAGGCTGGGGATGGAGGCGCGAGCAAAGGGATGGGGCATCCCTAGGGGCTCCTCAGCCCATCTCCTCCCTTGTAGTGATGGGACAAGGGGGAACAGGGGGTGTTCAGGCTGGATATAAGGAAGTTCTTCCCTGGGAGGGTGGTGGGATACTGGAATGGGTTGAAGGGAGAAGCTGTGGGTGCCACATCCCTGGCACTGTTCAAGGCCAGGTTGGATGGGGCTTGGAGGAAGCTGCTCTAGAGGAAGGGTTCCCTTCCACGGGGTTGAAACCGGATGAGCTTCAAGCTCCCTTCCAACCCAACCCATTCCATGGATCACTGCACTGTCCCCCACACCAAGGGGTCCCTTTTCAAGACAGATGGTCCCAAGCACACCCCCCCCCTTAATGCGTTCCACAAGGGTTTGGGGAGGTGACAATGGTTTTATTCAAGCCATAGGGCTCAATGCTGCCTGGCTTCAGTGTAGAAGTCAATGCAGAGCATGATAAAGCAGCCCATTGATGTCCATCGTGTTTTCCTTGTCCTCCAGGTCCTTCATCCACTTGTTCCTGGCACAGGGCATCGGAGGAGTCACAGATGGTGCTCCCTGGCCACGGCATCAACCTCAATGTGTGGGTTTGGCAAATGGGGGGGATCAGTTTCAGGATCAGAGCCCTTCCTTGCCCCCCAGCCCTTCCGCAGCGGTGGGGAGAGATGGGATGAGCCAGGCACACAGCGCACCCCGTGCCCATGCAGCCCTGTCCCTGACCCACACATCCCCTCCTGCTTGCTCCAAAGGGTTGGGTCCCTCACCCAGCATCACCCAGCATGGACACAGAGGCTGCTCAGGTCCCAGCCCGGATGCCTGCATCCTGCACAGTCTGCAGCCAGGAATAGGGAGCTGGGAGCTGCCTGCCCCTCACCCTGAGGGTCTATCCCTAATCCATGGGTTCCCGTGTGAGCAGTGGGTGCAGCCTAACCCCGCTCAGCCCCATCACCAGCCCGTGAGTCACCAGCCCTGCCCTCGCCCAGCGGGATTCCTGCTCCATGACTCAGCCGCAGCCCTGCCCATCACCGCATCCCATGGGAACACCCCCGGTCTGCCCTGGACCCTCGGTGCTGCAGGAACCAGCGGCGCTCCTGCTTCGGGTGGGAAGCGGAGGGGGAACGGCTGGAAGGGAATCCCGGCTCCAACGGGATCCCGGCTCCAAGGGGCTGCCGTGGGGGGGGGGGGGGGGGGGGGGCATTCCCTGCTCACAGACCCTGGGATGAGTCCGATCCCAGTGGAAAATCCCCAGGGCTGCTGCGCTGGGCTGATGCCAGCGATGGGGACATGGCAGGGATGCGCTGCAGCGCGCTTCCCACCGGGATATCCCGGCACAAGCGGGGCCGCGAAGCCTTTCTCATCCCGGAGTGATGAGTGGGAATCTCAGTGTGCCGAGATGCATCCCCAATGCACCCCATGGATGTGGGGCTGTAGCGTCCGGATGGACCCCTCAATGAGGGCATGAAGAGTGCCCCCCCCCCCCCCATCATGGTGTGGGGCAGCAGCATCCGTGCCCAGCGCCGCAGGCAATGGGTTTGGGTGCTATGGGGCTGGGAGACCGCGGTGTCTGCTGACACCTTGTGGTGGCTCGGGGGCTATGGGGCCAGGGCAGACCCCTCCCTCTGCCCCACACATGTCCCCAGAGCGCATGGAGGGAAGGCAGAGCCTGAGCATCACCCGCTGCTCCTCCGTTCTTTATTGCTGCAATAAATAACCCCGGGTGGTGCTGGCCGGATGGGACCGCGCCGCTCCCCGAGCCTGAAGGACACCAGCAGGGCAGAGCCTTCACCAGCTTGGGCAAGGGGAAAGGCACCCTTCATCCCATAGAAAGACCCCATCGCTTTGAAGGGGGTCCGGGTTGCGATGGGCTTGGCGCCCCGGAGGGCTGAGAACAGACAGAGCTCATGTCCTAGATGAGGAGAAGCCCATCCCATCCCTTCTTGTGGGTGAGGATGAAGGCAGGGATAGCACGGCCCAGGGCCCCCGGAGGCTGCCATGGCCTCGCACCCCCCCAACTCCCACCCTTAGGGTCTTCCCACCCCATCACACCCTGGCGTGGCTCTGGGAGACCAGGGTGCCCCGGGGCGAGCTGGGGCTCGGGGCAGGGCTTAGCAATGGGATTGGGGGGAGAAGCAGGGAGCTATGGAGGAGCGGGAGGTGATGCCGGAGGCTCGGCTGGAGCCGCTACTTGGTGTGCTTGACGCTCTGCTCCTGCTGGCGGATGATCTGGGCGATGGGGCTGGCGATGCCGCCTATCAAGGTCCAGTACTCCTCGAAGCTGATGCGCCCGTCCTTGTTCTCATCCAGGTCGCAGATGAGTTTATCGGCCGCCCGGCGATTCCCAGTGTCCTGAAGGGGAGGAGACACGGAGAGGGCTCAGCCCGGGGACCAAGGGGGACGTGGGTGTTGGGGGGGACCCCATGAACCCAAGCTCACCGTGAGCATGTGGTTGAGCTCGCAGCTCAGCATCTTGCGGAAGTCCTTCTTGCTGATGCGCCGCGGCTTCTTGCAGCAGCAGCGGCGGCTCGAGTACTTGTCAAAGTTGTTCACCAGGACCTGGACGGCCCATTCCAGCTCCGTGCACTCGGCCATGGATGCCTGTGGGGCGGGTTAGGGGTCAAGCATGGGGATGTGGGAGCCTCTGTGTGCCCATCATAGAGGAGGGCAAGAGAAGGAGGATCTGGAGCCAGGCTGAGGGAGCTGGGCTGGGTCAGCCTGGAGAAGGGAAGGTTCCTGAAGAGGAGACCTCAGAGCAGCTCCAGTGCCGGAAATATGGAGAGGGGTTTTGGACAATGGGATGGAGGGACAGAACAAGGGGAATGGCTTTAACCTGCCAGAGGGGGGTTGGAGATGGGATCTTAGGAAGCTCTTCCCTGCGAGGGTGGTGGGACATGGGGTGGGTTGAACGGAGAAGGTTTGGATGCCCCATCCCTGGCAGTGCTCAAGTAGCACCCTGCTCCGGTGGAAGCTGTCCCTGCCCATGGAGCTGGATGAGCTTTAAGCTCCCTTCCAACCCAACCCAATCCAACCCAACCCATTCCCTCCATGGGGGGCACCGCAAGCCCCAACGCAGGCAAACCCCAGCCTCTATGGAAGGGCTCCATAGAGCCAGCAGTGCCCATGGGCAGGCGCTGCTCCGTGCACCCGCCCCACACCATCAGCCCCTCCTGCCCCTCGGGGCGGCCGCCTCCATGCGTGGGTCGGGGCAGTCATTACGGCACCGGGGCTCCGCGGGGCCGCGGCTTCCCAGGGCTGCCTAGGGAGGAGCCGTGCGATGGGATGAGGGCAGGAATTACCGGCCAGCCCTCCTCTTGCTTCACCGCACCGGGAACACCCTGCCCAGGGCAGGTCTGGATCTGCCCGAGCCCCCCCAGCCAACAGCAGCCCCATAGCCCGGCTCCAATCCTGCCTCTCTGCTCGATGTCCCGGGTCCCCTTTCTCTCTTCCCGGTGGGTTCCGAGCTCGTTCCTATGGATGGACCCAACAGGATGGGCCTCGTCACGGGGTCCGGCGGCCGCATCCTGCCCAGGATGCAGGCAGGGAAGGAAACTGCGTCACCTTGTCCGGCCTCGGCTCTTTCCTGCCCTGCCGATGGCAGGGAATGGGCTGAGCTGGGAATGCTGTTCCCAGTCACTTCAATATCCATGCTGATCCACACCAGCCCATGGCCACCATCGCAGCAGTGGAGGAAGCCAACGGGGCGGCACGAACGGCCCCAAAGGGGTGACCCAGCACGTTCCCTGCTCTGGGGCATCATCCAGGAGGGTGACTCCATCCTGGAAGCAGGCAGGACCTGCCCCGTGCCCCAGACTTGCCTCGGGTCCCTTCTCCCTTTGCACTGATCCTCCCCAATCCAGCTCCAGGCCGGGGACGTCGGCACCTCAGGGTGGTGACAGGAGACACGAGGCTCATCCCTGCATCCCTTGGCATGGCTGGGTGCCCTCCCAAGCCATCCTTGTCCCCATGAAAGCCTTTGCTGTGTCTGTATCCTGCAGGACCATCCCCAACTTGCAGGGTACTGGGAGCTGGAACCGCTCACAGGAGATCTCCAGCCCCGACCCTTCCTCATTCCAGGCCATTAATAGCCAACAAAAGCTCATCAGCAGCACCCTGGGAGCTAGCACCCACCCCCTGCACCCACTGGGTGCAGACCCCACACTGGTATCACCGATCCCCGGCCACCAACATCCAGCCCATCCTTGGGGCATCGTGGCTGCTGCTTCAGTGCTGACTCACAGCTCCTGCCATTGCCTGCACCCCAGCCCCACCACGAGCCCCCGAGGCCAGGCAGGGGCACGGGGACATTGTCCCCATAGGGGGACAAGGGGACGAGGCTGCCCATGGTCCCCCTTCTTCCTTCACCTCTCCCTCTTCTTCCTCACATGCTCGGCAGTACCCACAGCAGGAAGCAAATATCCCTATTCCAGGGGCCAGATCCCCCCGGCGCCCCCCCCATGTGCTGCCCCTCCATAGGCAGCAGAGCTCGATGGAAGCTGCTGAGCCCCACTCTGGACCACGCACCCCCTTGACGCTCCCCTTGTATCCATCGGGTCCCCTCCATCCCGGCCCCACACACTTGGAGCTGCCGAAGGGCTCAAGGGGATTCCAGCACCCGACGTGCCCCAGCACGTCCCTGGTTGAACATTCCCACCCCAGTATCCCCATGCTGGCTCCCTGCTCCCCACCTCAGAGCCCGCGTGGGTCCCGCTGTGTCTGTCTGTCCCCGCTCCGGCAGCACGGTCAATGGGAGCCGACGGCACCCGCTCTCTGCTCACCTTGCACCCATAGCACGGGGCCCAGCAGGGCTTTTAAAGAGGCTCCCACCCCTCCCTGACGTTCCCGGGGCGTTCCCAGGCCGGAGCTCACCTGGGAAATGGCTCCGTGCGATTGCAACACCCGAGACGGGTCGGTGCGAGCAGCAGGACCCGGTTCCGGCTCCTTCCCATGCATGGAAGAGGGGTGATGGAAGGTGCTTGGGGACCACCCCAAAAGACCCCATTATGCCGAAGGGGTGGTGGGCTCCCATCCAGCCACGCACCACACTAAAACCCAGCTCCTCCATCCCCTGGTGCATCCCCATCACCCATCCTTACTCCAAACCACCCACTATGGGGCTGGTGTGGGACGGGAGCTGTCCCACAAGGTGCAGACGTCATTTATTTGAACCAAAACCACTTGTTCTCAAGGGTGCAAGGGGCTGGGGCTGCTCTTTGGGGGGCTGGAAGCATCAGCACCGGCTCCAAGCAGGGTTTTCTCCATCTCTCAACCATCCCTAGGTGCACTGGGCCAGCTAAAGCTCTTCCCCACCTGGTAGCTGTGCTTGTGTAGTCACCTCCATAATTAATTGTCCCAGCAAATTGTACCCTTGTACGTCTCCCAGCGCCATGGCCCAGCGATTTGATGCCAAGATGAGATAGGGGCGTTATTGGGAGCTGCCTATTTAAGGATGCGCAGGAGGAGGTGATCTATTCCAGGCAGGAGCTACCTGCTCAGAGGACCTTTAGGGACACCCCAGATGTGTCATCGCAGAGGCTCTCCACTGGCTTCCTCCTAATCTCGGTTGGGAGGAAGCAGCCGGCTCTCAACCGCGATGCTCCCGTATCGTTGATGCAACATCCCAGGAGGGTGGGAATCCCTCCCGGACCCTGCAGGCAGACAGCTCACCTCTGAATCACGGCCTTTCATTATCCTCCTGGGCCTGGCAGATGTCACAACCGCATCCAGGCCCTTCTTTTTACAAGGCATCCAGGGCGTGTGCGGGTGCTCGGAGCAGCCACGTCCCATCCAGAGCCATCACAAGGCACTTCCCCATGGGGTTGGGGCTCCCCGGTGGTGCCCACCAGCTTCAGGTCTGAAGGGTCAGGAGCACTTTGGTGTCTCATGGACGAGCGCTGCTCCATGGGAAAGGGGGGGCAACGAGACCCAGATCTGGGGGTCTCTGGGGGACCACCGTGATGGTGCTCCCGGCACAGACAGCGCATTGCATGGCGTTGCCCTCATGGTCAACACTGGCTCCCCAAGGAGCACCGACCACCTTGGCCTGAGCTCTTCCTCCCACCTCCAAGGGCTTCCCATCTACAACAGATCCTTATCAAGGCTGCCTCACGCTGCAGGAATTCCCGAGCTCCCGACAGCCCCGTCACGCCGAGGAGCCGGTCTCCCAACCACAAATGGGAGCCAAGAGGCCCATGGCACGTTCCCAGCCTGGTGCTGGGAAGAAGATCCCGGAGCCTCGGCTCCCCTTTTCCCCCCATCATCACCCCAACCATTTGACACATTTCCTGCCTCATTAAGCACACACCACACCTCTCTGCTTCATTTCCATGGACTTGTTGCCAAGGCAGGGACAATAAATAGTCATTCCCGTTGTGAAATCCAGCCCAAGGTGAGAGGAGACACAGGGTGGCCACAGCCGAGCCACGGTGTCGGCGCTGCAGCCACCATGGCCCTGCCTCGGGTCCTATCACGTTTGGGTTGGGTTTGTTCACCTTTGGGCTTGTCCCTGCAGCACCAACGCTGCTGAGGCCCCTCCGCCAGCTCTGTTTCAGGGGTCTCCATCCCATGGAGATGCCTCCAGGACACAGAGCACAGCAGTGGAAGAGGGAAGAGGGGGATAACTTAAAGCCCTCTGCACCCTTCCAAGCCCATTCTTTGGCCGTCCACGCACTCAGCCCCATCCCGCTGAGCCACCACTTTGTGGCATTCCCTGCTTTCCAATGTGCTGCAACGACAGCGAAATCCCACCTCCTGTGACATGGAGGGGACCCTTCTGAGCCCGTGCCCTGAGCTTTGGGGGTGCCTGGTCTGTGCACACCACACTGGTTCTGCTTGTGGGGTGCCCACAAATGGGGACCACTGAGCAGGAGCCACCCCAGGAACCAAGAACCATTAAAGCAGGACCATGCTCACCCACAGCATCCCTTGTACCCCGCAGCATCCCTTGTACCCCACAGCATCCCTTGTACCCTGCACCCCTTGTACCCCACAGCATTCCTTGTACCCCACAGCACCCCTTGTATCCCACAGCATCCCTTGTACCCTGCAGCATCCCTTGTACCCCGCAGCATCCCTTGTAGCCCACAGAATCCCTTGTACCCCACAGCATCCCTTGTACCCCGCAGCACCCCTTGTATCCCGCAGCATCCCTTGTACCCTGCACCATCCCTTGTACCCTACAGCACCCTTTGTACCCCTGCAGCATCCCTTGTACCTTACAGCACCCCTTGTATGCCACATCATCTCTTGTACCCCTGCAGCATCCCTTGCACCCCCTCAGCATCCCTTGTACCCCACAGCATCTCTTGTACCCCTGCAGCATCCCTTGTAATCCTGCAGCATCCCTTGCACCCCCACAGCATCCCTTATGCCCCTGCAGCATCCCTTGTACCCCCACAGAATCCCCTGCACCCTGCAGCATCCCTTGTACTCCACAGCATCCCTTGTACCCCACAGCATCTCTTGTACTCCTGCAGCATCCCTTGTACCCCCACAGAATCCCTTCTACCCCTGCAGCAGCCCTTGTACCCTAAGCTCAGTACTGGGGCCAGCAACCCAGCAGCGAGCGATGCTCAAAGCCATGGTGGCTGCAGCCCCATCCCTCTTTTCCCCCCCCCTTTCCCTCTCCCACCAAAGACAAACAACATCACCCCATTCTGGCTGGGATTTTCCAGTGTTTTCCTTTATTAATTTATACAAAACTGGTTGCAAGCTGGTAACAACCCGCCACCATCCCAGCCCCGAGCCCAGCCAGGGGCCAGCATCCCTGGAGAGGGGCAAATGGGGGAGCACCACGGTACCCCCCTGGCTTAGCACCCCCGAAACCTGGCCAGGAGCAAGGCACCACGGTCCCTGCACTGCGGGAAGAGCAGGGAATAAGACCCAGGCCAGGCATGGAGACACTGGTGCTGGCCCCGGAGCCTGGGATACCCCGGAGGTGCTCGAAGCACAAGGCACAGGGGGTCCCATCAGTGGCAGGGGGACGAGCCCAAACATCCAAGGGATTTGGGGGGGGGGGGGGAAGGGGGGGGAGGAAGGGGGAAAGGAGCCGAGTCCCTCTCGCTGCGCTGCTCCGGGGCTGGGGGACCTGCAACCAGAGGCTTTTCAGGGCCGGAGGTGGGATAACCCCTGGGATAAAGGCTCTGGAGCAAAGGACGGAGAAAGGCGGCTCCGGAGCTGGAGCCAGGAACCCCCTTTACCACACCCTTGCTGGGGATGGGAAGGGAGGTGTCCTGACGGGAAGGAGAGGGCAGGAAGGGAGCCGGCGAGGGGGATCCCTCTGCCCCGGGCAGGGATGCGGGGAGGAGATGAGCAGCGTTGTGCATTCCCAAGCGCATCCCACCGGGACCAGCAGCCTCTTGCATGCACCCACGGTGCAGAGCCTGAGGCCTCGGGCGCCTTCCCGTCCCCCCGCCGCCCTTCTACTTCCTCCGGCAGCCCTTGGCCGCATCCCCCATCATGTCCCAGTACTCTCCAAACTCCAGCTTGGCTTCATCAGGGTCTCCCATGCATTCGATCTTCTCTTCCAGTGGTCCAACACACTGCAGCGGGATGAGGAGGGGGGAAGAAAGCATTGGGGTGATGGAGCTGTGGGGTCCCGCAGGCAGCCCGTGGCCCCCTTACCCTGCCCACCCCGAGGCTCTGATCTCACCTTCCCCAAGTGGGGCAGCTTCTGCACCACGAGCTCCTGCATCTCGTTGGGGGTCAGGTATTCCTTCTGCCCCTTCACGGCGTAGCAATGGAACTGGTTGATGACGGTCTCGATGGCGCGCTCCACGTCGGTGAGCTCCTGGCAGTCCTGAGCAGGGAAAAGAGGGAAGGCTCAGACGGGCGGAAGGCTCCGAGCAGATGTGCCAGATGTTCTACCCCTAAACAACGCCATGAGCCCCCTTATCAACACGATCCCCTTCAGCACAGATGTGAGACCCCCTCTTACTGTAAGGCCTCACTGCACAGATGCGAGTCCCCCATACAGCTGCAAGACCACTCCATCCAGATGTGATACCCCTCCGTACTGGCCCGAGACCAGCCTACACAGCTGCAAGACCACTCCGTCCTGACTCCAGAGCTCTCCATCCAGATGTGAGACCCCTCCGTATGGATCCAAGACCCCTCCATACCAATGCCAGACCACTCCATCCAGATGTGAAACCCCACCGTCCAGATATGAAACGCCACCATCCAGATGTGAAACCCCACCGTAGAGATCTGAAGCCCCATTATACAGATGTGAAACCCTCCCATCCAGATGCGAAACCCCATTATACAGATGTGAATCCCTCCCATCCAGATGTCGCATCCCTCCGTACAAGCTCTGCCCAGCCTCAGCCCCCCTGCCTTGGAGCTCCCGTACCCCTCCACCTTGCTGTGCCCCACATCCCTGCCGCGTTGTCACCCCCCTGCCTCTGCTTGCCCGGGCTTCTCCTTGCCCGGGGCCAGCGAGGCTCAGCCACCCCGGCGTCAACACCCAGAGCGCGCGGGGGCCGCCGCTGCCGTCCGGACTGGTTCTTCCTCTCCTTTGCACAAGCGGTGGATGGAGGCAATGAGTCAGTGCCGGGCTGGGGCTCGGAGGCAGCAGGAGCCCCATTGGGGTTGCAGAACAACCCCCCCACCACCACCACCTCCCCTTTCCCAAGCAGGTTTTGAGGGGGGCAGAGCCCCGTGCGCTCAGCATCCCCATGCACTCAATGGGTAAAGCCGTGTCGGGAGGGAAACGGCGGTGATTCACTCGGCATCTGCGGTTTCCCCTTGCGACGCTCTCAAACCACAGCAGGCAAAGCCCATTAGGAAGCAGGCAGCGATCTTCAGAGCCTCAGCCCCGGCCAAATCCTGCTCAGGTGCCAAGGGGGTGCAAGAGGAGGGCAGCCCCTTGGTTGAGAGCTGAGGAAAACAGGAGCCTTTGTGCCAGGGGGCATCCTCAGAGCAGTCGCAAGGAGCAAGCACGGCTCCCGAAGGCAAATCCATGGGAGCTGCCTGCTTCCCTGGGCTTTCAAGCGGCTCCGAGCCCAAAGCAGCCCCTTGGCTCCTCTACCGGAGTCTGCCTCCAGGACGGGGCCGTGATGCTCCGAGTCCCCCCCATTCCCAGGGATGGGGCCCTGCGCCCCGCATCCCAACGGGGGTCCCGGCCCTCCCATTGCCAACAACAGCATCGCTCATGGACCTTGCGCTTCTTGCGGCAGTTGCACTGGCCCATTGCTGCTCCGCACGGGGTCTGCGGGTCCTCGCTGGCAGCGGTGCTGGGCTGTCCTCTCCAACGGGGAGCTGCAGGAGAAAGCCAGGCTCAGCAATGGGCTTGGTGAGGGGGCGAAGATTCCCCTCCTTCAGCGCAGCGCAAGGATGCGGTGAGCTGCCGGGACACGTCCCAGCGGGAACAAGTCATGGCAAAGCCAATGGGAGCAGGATGGGTGCTGCTGGGACCCCCCCTCCCCTTCACCCCTATGGCGGTGCTGGGTCACTCACCTGCTCCTGGGGCTGCGCCGGGTGTGCGCGGGCTGCGGCGCGCAGGGGTTTTATACCAGGGGAGGTGTGAGTGGGAGCTCCCTGCGCTCCGGCTGCGGTGTGGGGCAAGGCCTTATCCCAGAGCCTGGCCCCGAGCCAGCGTGGGGCTGGGAAACGCCTCCTTTCCCGGCCACAGGGATGGTTCCAAAGGCAAAGCCGGGACGGTTCCAAAGGCAAAGCCGGGATGGTCGGAGCCGCGCGGCACCGCGTGGGAACAGCCGCCGGGTACCCCCGTGGAGGGGGGTTTAGGGATTCCCGGCAATGCCAGGGTTTGGGAGCTGGATGCTGGGAATGGCAGCTCGGTTTGGGGCGCTGGGAGATGCTTCTCCCACCAACGCTGCCCAAGATGAGGAGCGCTGATGCCGTGGAGGTGCCAAGGCCACCGCGGGCACCGCGGCGGCGGCAGCGCTGCTGGAGATGGTCCTGAGCTCCTCGCCAGCCCCACATCCCTGCCACCCGTCGGGGTTGCACTGAGCAGGAAGGTGTCTGTGGGGGGCAGAGGGTGGTTTGGGAAGGGCCCCGTCACCACAAGAGCAGGGTGAGCCCCAGCCCGCACAGCGTGGTGGTGATGGGGGGATGCAGGTGGGGTCGCCCGAATCAAAGCCCCTCACTAAGAACAGCAGCGATGCTCAGGCTCAGGGGATCCTCCTTTATTAGCTCGGTGCTGGAGGAGATTCCCATCACTTCTTCCCGGCTTTCTCCCTCCTTATGGCCTTCGCCAGCTCCCCCATGAGCCGCCAGTACTCGCTGAACTTCAGCTCCCCGTCCTGGTTCACATCCAGCTCCTGCATCTTCTCCTCCAGGGAGGGGACCTCCTGCAGGGAGGACAGGGGAGGCTCGGCTGTGTCCTGGTGCCCAGCAGGATGGGAATGGGGGTGGGAAAGGAATGGGGAAGAGAAAGGGGAAGGAATGGGGAAGGGGAAAGAAGGGAAAAGGGATGGAATGAGGATGGGGGTGGGGACGGGGATGGAACGGAGATGGGGACAGGATGGGGATGGAGATGGGAATGGGATGCAGATGAGGATAGGGATGGGATGGATGTGGGGATGGGGATGGGATGGGGATGGGGATGGAATAGGGATGGGGATGGGGATGGGATGGATATGAGGATGGGGATGGGATGGGGATGGGGATGGGATGGATATGAGGATGGGAATGGGATGGGGATGGGGATGGGATGAGGATGAGGATGGGGATGGGGTGGAGATGAGGATGGGGATGGGATGGATATGAGGATGGGGATGGGATGGGGATAGGGATGGGATAGATGTGAGGATAGGGATGGGATGGGGATGAGGATGGGGATGGGATGGATATGAGGATGGGGATGAGGATGGGGATGGGATGGATATGAGGATGGGGATGGGATGGGGATGGGATGAGGATGAGGATGGGGATGGGATGGATATGAGGATGGGATGGAGATGAGGATGGGGATGGCATGGGGATGGAGACGGGGAAGGGTTGGTGATGGCTGGGTATGGGGATGGAGATTGGATGCAAGTGGGGATGTGGATGGGGAAGGGATGGGAAGGGGATGGGCACCGGGATGAGGATGGGGGGTGCAGGAGCTGCGACTTGCTCTTGCTCACAAATCCCAGGGTACCAGAGCAGGCCCCAGCTCCAAACCCCACCCACACCCCCCCCCCCCCCCACTGCCCCACAGACCCTGCCCCTCTCCTCACCTTCATCAGGTTGGGCAGCTGGAGCTGCACCAGGGCCCTGAACTCGCTGGGGGTCAGGGAGCCCTTCCTGCCCTCCTGCCCCGCATGGTCCAGGAACGCGGTCACCAGCTTCTCAATGGCCAGCTCCAGCTCGGTCAGCTCCGTGGCCATGGGGCACGGCGGCGGCACGGGGCTGAGAGGGGTCGGGGGCACGGATGTGATGCATGAGGAGATGGGGACCCCACTCCCCTTCCCCAGCCCAGGGCGCAGGGGGGGACCACAGCCCTTTAGTGTTCCCGTGCGATGGGGGCATGGCAGGAAAGGGATGGGGACACAGCGGAGGTTTCCTGCTGCAAACGCAGTGCTCAGTGCGATTCCCTGCAGGAATTCCCTACTTACCCCTGGCTCTTGCAGGCAGAGAAGCTCTCAACACCCCCCCCCCCCCGCCCCAGGGATGTTTTAGGCCCTATGGGAGGTTTTAGACCCGTGTTTCCCCCTCTCTGTGCCTCAGGAATAAGGTTTCCTGTTGCAGCCGGATGGACGGAGGCACCGACGCTGCCCGGACGCACCCACGTCCTCCTCTGCTCCCTCCCCGTTGTGGGCAAGGGATCAAGCTCAGTGTGATGTGAACGTACCCCGGGCTCCACGGCACTGCTGGGATGCGCCAGGATGGGACCAGGATGCAGAGGGACATGAGGGGACACAGCGGGTTCGCACCAGCATCCCCCAGGCTCAAGCATCCCATAGGGATTGAGCATCCCAGGGGGTTCATCCTGTGAGGCCCCCAGCACCCTGCTCATGTCCTGCCATTCCCGGTGGCTCATCCCAGGCTGTGATCCCGCGGTGGGGACCAGCACGGAGTGAGAGTTGTGACTCAGCCACCCACTGGCATCACCCCTATTAACAGTGGGCTTTGTGGAAATTAATTAATCCGCATTAATGAGGGGGTTGGATCGAGCCTTTCCCCTTTAATCATGGGGTATTTATAACATGGCAGCGCTGGCACGCTTCCAGCCGGGATACGCAGCAGCTCCAAACCATGGCACCGCGGTTCCCACGGCCACATCCCATGTCCCGGGGCTGCTCCTTGGATCTGGCCAACGCGGGGGGGGTCTCATCTCTGCACAGAGCATGGCAGAGGCATCCCGGATTCCCTGCATGCCATGGGGAGCGTATCCATGGGGATATCCCCATCTCCATGCCAGCACCGCCAGCAGAGCGCATGGGAAGGGGATCCCGCCCCAGCAGTGTTCTGGGGACCCACAGAGGTCCCTGGCACTGCTGAGCCCTGACCCACTCCCTGCCCCTCTCCATAGGGATGGGGATGGGTGGCCCGGTCCCCACCCCGCAGCCGTCACACCAGCTCACGGGGCAGGAATTGGCTTCCTGCAGCCCCATCCGGTCCATCCCCTTCCCGGGATGATGGGGGCCATGGGGACGGGACTTCCGCTGCGCCCCACGTCAGGGGACAGGGATGGTGGCTTGGGAAAGCTCCGGGGTGAGTCAGGGACGGGGACAATTGGGGTGAATCACCGGCCCCAAGAGCCAGGCGGGCCCGTGACTCCCTGCCTCTGGAATTCGGGGTGCCAGGATGGGGCAAGGAGCTGCAGCAGCCCCGCAACAGGATGCGGCCAAGTCACAGGCTTGAAGTGGGGATCCCTCCTCAGGGCTGTCCCCACGGCCAGGGCACAGTGACCCATCCATAGGGATCTGGTACTGCCAGGAGCCTCTGTGTTGGGATGAGAGCTCGGGATGCAGGCGCATCCCTGTCCCCATGCATTGTCCCATTGGATCCCAACCCCTGTGCGTGTCCGTGTTCCCCCCCAGCTATCAGGAATCACTGCACGGCACTGATTTGAGGGATGCTCCGTGCCATCATGACCCCCCCCCCTCATTGCCACAGCAGCTCCAAACCCCAGGCATGGAAAAGCCTCTTCCCTGCTCCGGCAATGGGCTGGAAAACCAAGATCAACCCAGCCCCGGCCCCAGCAACTGGAGCAACCGGTTGAACTGGGTGCAAGTGGAGCAGTGGCTGAAACCTGTTCCGAGCTGTGTGTAAACCTCCTGGCCCGGCCCTCGCTGCTCCCGGTTTGGTAAGAGCTTGTCCTGGGGATGCGCCGGGGCGGCCGCGCCGGCTCCGCTCATCCCATTGCCAGCACCGCCGGGAGCAGGACCATGGCCCCTCCATCCCGCAGCCATGGCCCCTGGCGCCCGTGCTTGGCAATAGCCTGGCCCAATCCTGCTCTCCGGCCAGGGCTGGGGATGGATGGGAGCCAGGGTCGGACACTCAGCCCATGGTGGCCCCGTGCCACTGCACACACCCGGACCGGGGCTATATTTAAGCTCAGGACCCAACGGCGATGCCCATTCCCGTCATGGGCAGCTGCGTCCCAATTGGGATCAGGCTTCCGGGAAGGGGTGGCCGGATCCTGCCCGCGGCCGCCGCACCGGGGACGGGACACGGCCAAGTGAGTGCCACCGGGTCCTGCCCTGCTTCCCCCTGGAAAAGCCTATTCCAGGCCCTGGAGCCGGTTTTCCATGGGGATCCCCGGCCCCAGGGTTCCCCCCGTCCCTGCCAAAGCCAGCCTGGGAGCTGTGTCCTGCTGGGAAGCGGCTCCGGAGCTTCCATCCAGGACCCGAGCTTCCATCTGGGACCCCCAGCTCGGTCTGGGACCCCCATTTCCATCTGGGACCCCAATTCCAGCCAGGAACCTCACTTCTATTTGGGATCCTACTTCCATCTGGGACCCCAATTCCAGCCAGGACCCTCACTTCTATTTGGGATCCTACTTCCATCTGGGACCCCAATTCCAGCCAGGACCCCTATTTCCAGCCAGGACCCCCAATTCCAGCCAGGACCCTCACTTCCATCTGGGACCCCTAATTCCATCCAGGACCCCAATTCCATCCAGAACCCTACATACACACCAGGCAGGGCCCCCCCTTCCCAACTCAACTGCTCCATGCACAGGACAAGACCCCCCCCACCAAGACCCTCCCCATCACCCCAACCCCTCCAGCCCCCCCCCCATGCACCGGGTGCCACAGGGGGTCCTCAGGCTCCTTTTGGGGTCCCAAGGCAGGGACACAGCGTTTCCCAAGCACAGGAAGCGCAGGAGCTGGCAAAGGAGGGAGCAGGATATAATTAGCCCCAAATTAGGGCTGGAATCCGGGATAAAGAGCCTGGCACCACCCGGCTCTTGCGAAAAGCCACACGGGGCAGCTCCCAAAGGAAAGGGGGGGGGGGGGGGGGGGTGATCCCGAGGTTGGGGGCTCCGCATTCCCGCTCCGTAACGAGAGCCGGGATTATCAGCGCCTGCGATGGGGAATCCGGTTTCCCGGCGGAGCCGTTGCTGCGGCAACCTCGGGGCTGGGATTGGGGAGCTCTTGTTCGCTTCACAAGAGGCTCCTCTGTGTGCGGGTCACCCGATAGCCCCCCCCGGGCTCCCCCCGGCTCCATCGGCTCCCATTGCACCGCTGAGGACACCGGATCCCAGCGGCCGGGCGGCGGGAGGAGGGAAGGGATGGAGCCGGCAGTGCGGTGCTGAGTGATGGGGGATGCCGGGATCCCACCGGCGCTGGGGCATCCAAGGCCAGGTCCTTCCAGGAAACCATTCCATGGTTTTAGGTGTGCTTTAAGCTCCCTTCCAAGCCATTCCCACGATTCCACGATCCTATGACCCACAGGGCACATCCATGGCGAAGGTGGAAGCGAGACCCAAACACCCCCCAAAGTAACTCAGCATCCCCATCCCATAAGCACTGATGGGGCTGGACGCGCTCCTCTCCACCACCCTGGACCGGTGTGGGGTGATCAAGGCCCCGGGGTACCATGGATGCGGGCTCCCCGTATCCCGGCCCCCGCGAGGGGGGCCCGGCGGTGCCAGCCGGACTGTCCAGCCCCGGTATCGGATCCTCCCGCAGGGAGGGGGCCTGGAGCTTATTTAACGGCCCCGCTTAGCCCAGCCTGGAGCACTCGGAGCAGCGCAGAGCTCAGGTGAGCCCAGGTCCATGGGTGGGATGCAAGGAGAGGAGGTGCAGACACCCCCCCCCCCATAGCCAGCTCTGCCCTATAGTGAAGGCCAAAGCGGATGCGATCGAGGGATGCTCCTTATGCTAAAGGGGGAAGCTGGTGGGTGCCCCCCGTAACCCAGTGGGTGCTTCCCCGCAGCCGGAATCATGGCATCGCAGCTGGAAGGGGCCATGGAGACGCTCATCAACGTCTTCCATCACTACTCGGGCAAAGAGGGGGACAAGTACAAGCTGAGCAAGAAGGAGCTGAAGGAGCTGCTGCAGAGCGAGCTGGGCTGCTTCCTGGAGGTAGGGATGCGATGGGATGCAGGGGGGGGGTCCCCGTTTTCCTTTCCATGCTATGGGGTATCCAATGCTGACGCTGTCACACACCCTCCCCCAAACACAGACCCAGAAGGACACGGGTGCCGTGGAGAAGATCATGCAGGACCTGGATGAGAACGGCGATGGGGAAGTGGACTTCCAGGAATACGTGGTCCTGGTGGCCGCCCTCACCGTGGCCTGTAACACCTTCTTCTGGGAGAACGCCTGACCCCCATCCCGGCCGAGCACCCCCGAAGCACAGAGCAGCCCTTCCCCAGCTCTCCCCCTCCGCTTCCCAGCCCGCAGCATCCCCTTGGCATCCAGCTCCATAATAAAGGCACCGACCCAGCTTCCAAGGCTGTCCCCTTCCTTGGGGATACCGGGAGCATTCCCTCTCCTAAGCCATAGGGAAAAAGCCACCCTGGGTCTGAGGGCAGCGTGCTCCCTCCATCGCACCCTGCCCCATAGGGTCTCACCCATTGGGGTGCAGGACATAGCGGGGGGGGGGGGGGGAATACGGGGCTCTGAGGGTCCGGGATGGGGGGGCCCCCACAGGCTGTGGCACGTCCCGGGCCCTGCGCCCCACGGGGCTGGAGGAACCGGTTCTTATCGGCTCGCCCAGCGGGAGCGGAGCCAGCGGCCCCCGCGCTGAGCCCCGCGCAGGGCCGGCAGCGCCATCGCCTGCCGCGGCTGGGGCCGGGCCCGCTGCGGAGCTCCCGGGGTTGGGGGGGGGGGGGGGGTAGCGGGGACGGCGTCGGGTCCCCGTGGGGCAATCCCGGCCGTGGGATGGGGTGGGATGGAAGGGATGGGGTGGGATGGGATGGGAAGGGATGGAAGGGATGGGATGGGGTGGGATGGGATGGAAGGGATGGAAGGGATGGAAGGGATGGGATGGGATGGGATGGATGGGATGGAGTGGGATGGGATGGGAAGGGATGGGATGGGGTGGGTGGGATGGGATGGAAGGGATGGGGTGGGATGGGATGGGATGGGAAGGGATGGAAGGGATGGGATGGGGTGGGATGGGATGGAAGGGATGGAAGGGATGGGATGGGATGGGAAGGGATGGAAGGGATGGGATGGGGTGGGATGGGATGGATGGGATGAGATGGGAAGGGATAAATAGGATGGGATGGATGGGATGAATAGGACGGGATGGGATGGATGGGATGGGGTGGGATGGGAAGGGATGGGATGGGGTGGGATGGGGTGGATGGGATGGGATGGGACGGGAAGGGATGGGAAGGGATGGGGTGGATGGGATGGGATGGGATGGGGTGGGATGGGACGGGAAGGGACGGGAAGGGATGGGAAGGGATGGGATGGGGTGGATGGGATGGAAGGGATGGGATGGATGGGATGGGATGGGAAGGAAGCGATGTGGGTCGCGCTGGTTGCATCCTTATTGCCCTGCTGCAATCAGTGCCCTTCTCTGGGGCTAGAGGAGAGGCAGGGGGGCAAGAGGGTAGAAACCACTTTAATACCCAGAAGAGCCGCTCGTGCGCTTGCTCGCTGCAGGGTTTGGCTCATTTAAAGGGGATGGGGGGGGTAAGAGGGGCTTAAAAAGGATGTGTAGGGCAGGGGAGGGAGGATGTGGGGTGTTGGAGGTGCTGTGAGGGCTGGAGCATCCCTGCTCTGCAGCCAGGGTGAGGGAGCTGGGCTGAGTCAGCCTGGAGAGGAGAAGGCTCCTGAAGGGGAGACCTTAGAGCAGCTCCAGTGCCTAAAGGGGCTGCAGGAACCTGGAGAGGGGCTTGGCCTGTAGGGCCAGGCCAAGGGGAATGGCTTTAACCTGCCCGAGGGGAGACTGAGATGAGCTCTTAGGCAGAAGCTCTTCCCTGGGAGGGCAGTGGGACACTGGGATGGGTTGGATGGGGAAGGTTTGGATGCCCCATCCCTGGCAGTGCTCAAGGCCAGGTGGGACGGGGCTTGGAGCACCCTGCTCTAGTGGAAGGGGTCCCTGCTTTGGAGCTGGATAAGCTTTAAGTTCAGTTCATCATCTCATCATCCCATCCCCATTACCATCCCATCCCCAGACCATTCCATCTCATCTCATCCCATCCCCATTTCCAGCTCATCCCCATCTCCATCCCATCCCATCCCCATCTCCATCCCATCCCCATTTCCATCTCATCTCATCCCATCCCATCTCCATCCCATCCCCAGACCATTCTACCTCATCTCATCCCATCCCCATTTCCATCTCATCCCCATCTCCATCCCATCCCATCCCCATTTCCATCTCATCCCCATCCCCATCCCATCCCCATCTCTATCCCATCCCCATTTCTATCTCATCTCATCTCATCCCATCCCATCTCCATCCCATCCCCATTTCTATCTCATCTCATCCCATCCCCATTTCCATCTCATCCCCATCTCCATCCCATCCCCATCTCTATCCCATCCCCATTTCTATCTCATCTCATCTCATCCCATCCCATCTCCATCCCATCCCCATTTCTATCTCATCTCATCTCATCCCATCCCATCCCCATCCCAATCCCCATCCCCATCCCCATCCCATCCCCAGACCATTCCATCTCATCTCATCCCATCCCCATTTCCATCTCATCCCCATCTCCATCCCATCCCATCCCCATTTCTATCTCATCCCATCCCCATCCCCATCCCCTCCCCATCCCTATCCCGCCCGCCCGAGGGACCCCCTCCCGTCACCAACCAATAGCCGCGCGGGAAACCCCAACGTCACCGCAGCCCACCCAATAGCAGAGGCCGTCGGGACGCGCCTGACTCCGCCCCTTCCCTTTGCGCGCCGCCGCGGCCGCCATTTTGGCCGCTGGAGGGAGAAGGCGGGGGGGGGGCTGTTCCTGTGGTACCGCCGCCATTTTGTCGCGGCCGTTCGAGCACGGCGGGAGCGGGCGGAGGGCGCTGAGTCTGCCCCGCGCCACCCGCAGCCACCGCTGCCGGGACCTGGCGACCGTCGGCTTCGGTGAGAGCGTCCGGTCCTGCCCGAGGGCTGCGGCGGGGCGGGGAGGGACGGGACGGGGACCGGCTGCGAACGGGAGGCCGCAGGGCGCGGTGAGGCGGTGCCGGGGGTGAGGGGGGGAGGTTGAGCCTTGCTTCCATGGATGGCGGCTGTTGCCGTTGTCGTTGCCGTTGCCAGGGGCTTGTAGGGCTCGGTTGCCGGCCCAGGGCAGGCCTCACCTTTCTCCCCTGCCTCTGCGTTGTTGAGGAAGGGGAAAAAAAAAAAAATGCTTTTAAACCGCATTTTTTGGTTAAAAAGCGGGTTCCGGCTGCCTGTTGGCTCCGTTTCTATGTGATCTGTGCTAAAACTCGGTAAAGAAAGCGGTTTCTCACTGGGGCTTGGAGCATCGGGAGCAGCTCCCGTTAAATCCCTGTGCTGCGCTCATAGGCAGCTCCTGTGGTGGAGAGCCCCATTAGAGCAGCGTTAGGTCCTAACCCCCCCCTGTTTACCGCTTACATCTGTCCCAGGTGGTTGTAATCACATTCAGAGGGTGAAACCTCAATGGGTTTAAGCCATTTGGGACTTCTGTAATGTAATGTCGAGGTTTTCTTGCGGAGGGGGTGATACCTGCCTTAAACCAAGGTGGCCTTTCCCTGTTGCTGATGCTGGGAGCGTAGGGAGCGTGGCAGTGCGTTGGAGCCTGCCCTAAAGAAGGCATTGAGGTGCTGGTTTGGTGGCGGGGGGGGGGGTGGGTTTTGCATCATTGCCCCTGCCAGTGGTCCCATTTCTTAGTAAGGATGAGTTAAGTTTGACTTGGGGATGTGTGAAGCCCGCTGTATCCTGGGTTTCGTGCTACCCAGCGCATTACTGCAATACCTGTCGTTGTTTCTGCCCCTCGAGGCAGGCAGGATGCGGTCATTTCGGGGGGGTTCCGTGGGAGATCCTCAGTGCTGTTTGGTTGAGGCCGCCTCTCCTGTCTTGCAGATTCTCTTGAGCTGAAGATGGCTGCACAGTCAGCGCCGAAGGTCGTGCTCAAGAGCACCACCAAGATGTCTCTGAACGAGCGGTGAGGAAGCCAACAGCAGCTTCAGCTCATAAGAAATCGTTGTCCTTAGTTATCACTGCCCACAAAAAAAAACCAAACCCACCCAGCCTGGTTTCGGCCCTCTTTTAAGCTCACTAAAGCAAGCCGATGGCTGTGCACCTCTGCCTTAAACCACGCCAAAGGTGGCACGCAAGGTTTAAAGGGCGAGCGTTTTCGGAGCGGTTTGATCCGTCGCGGTTTAATAGGAAACCCTTGCGACACGTAAATGTGGTGGGATGTGTTATAACCCAAGAGAGAGAGAAAAGCTCACACCCTCCCTTTTCTCTTCCACGTGTGTTTTACATTGATAGAGGCGACGCTGCAGCACGGTAGCATGTTACCCAAGCTGCAGGAGGCTTGCTGCTTTGTCCAAGGCAGACACACGTGCATGTGGTCTGGCCTGTAAGAGGCAGGCAGCGGGCCGCTGAACAAGCCCAAAGGCCCTTTAACAACGTTCTGGGCCTTGTAAGAGGCAAATGCTTTGCTTCATCTCCATCTCTTTTTCTCTCTCTTGCCTCGATTCCTTTATTTCTTCTGTTGAGTATTCCTCTGGTTTTCCATGCTGTTGAGCTCGTGCAGTTCGACAGTGGTCACTAACAGCAATGCAGTTCTGTTTCACTTTCCTCCTAACCACTCTTGGATTATCTTTTGTTGGTAGCATGGAGCCAGGGGGAAATAGAGCCGTGTTTGTGTTGCCCCTGCTCTAGCAAGTGCTGCAGGGAGATGGATGGAGAGGCCAAACTGGTGCTCAGAGTTATCCTAGGCAAGATGAGGGGCAGGGCAGGGGAGGCCTTGTTAGCCCGTTTTGGTTTGCTCAGGCCATATTCCCCATCTCTAAGTGTTGTTTCCCAGCCCCAGCACCCAGCAGGATGCAGATGGGCTGCTCCTAAGGAGGCTTGCCATCTTGCTGCTCCTGGATCCTCCTAAAGAGAAGATCCTTTGTGCCCCAAAGAAACTGCCAAGTGAAGTGTTTCTCTGAGCAGCCACGCTTGGGTCGTGGCATTGCTCCTATGGGGCACCAGAGGCCACCAGACTGTCCTTAGGGGGATGTCTTTTGTTAAGGTGCCTTTTGGCCTTGAGTTTTTAACCCTCTTGGGGGGTGAATTTTGTCTTTTGCAGTCAGATTTCCCTTTGCTTTTGTGTTCCTGTGATGTCCTCTCCCATCTGTCACGGCCATCTCTGCTTCTTGCTTGTTGTCATTCCTTCTGCCATTTCTAACCTCAGTAACCTAAAGCTTTCTCACTTCTCGATTAATACGCAGCATCATTTCTGAGTTTCCAGTTCTTGCACACTTGTGGAAAACGAGGAATACCTAATCCCATATGCCGTGACCTAAGTAC